TCCAGCAGGCGATGATCACTGTCACCCAGGTGGTCGAGCATCTGCAGACCCCTCACCAGGTCATCATCTGTGGCCAGGACCAGATCCAGCAAGGCGTCTCTCCTGGTGGGGCTGTGCACCTCTTGGGTTAGATGGAGGTCCTGTATCCCGGCTAGGAACCTACGTGAGTGGTCAGACCTGGCTGGCTGCTTTTCCCAGCAGATGTCTGGAAAATTCATGTCCTTTGACCTTTAACTACCTCTGTGAGCTGACATAAGAATTCCTGGTCTAGCTCTTCCCCTTGGTTGGGTGGTCTGTAGTAGACCCCCACCGTTTAGTCCCTTTCCCCTTGACTTCCTTGTATTCTAACCCAGAGCACTTCAGTGTGCTCCTCCTCTGACCCTGTGCTATTCGTTGAGGATGTGTATATCTCCTTGACATAGAGCGCCACATCCCCACCTTTCCTCCCTGTCATATTCCTTCTGTACAGCCTGTAGCCCTTGATATTCACCACCCAGTTGTGCGTTGGGTCCCACCACATTTCGGTGAGCCCCACTATGTTTGGGTTGGTGTCATTTAGCAGGAGGGTAAGTTCCTCCTGCTTGTTCCCCATACTACGAGCATTTGTGTAGAGGCATTTGAGGCCTCCTGAAGATGCTTGCACTGGCCCACTAATCTCAGTATTACCCAGGTCCCTGTTGTTTACCTGGGTATTTGTTCTGCTCGTTGTCAGTGTAGGCTGGGCTGTTTTTGTGGATGACGCTTGGTTTAGTGGTTCAAGGCCTCCTCCGCCTTCATCTTCCCCTTCCCCCAACAAGCCTAGTTTAAAGCCCGCCGAAGGAGATTAACCAACCTAGAAGCCCATCCCACCGGAGTATGTCTCTCGTCCTGATGTGTGGGTCATTGTCTAGGAAGCCGAAGCCCGCTTCAAAACCAGGACCCTTGTGAACTAGTTCCCAATCAGCAATACTTCTGGAACTTGGGGTACACTGATAAAGATTTTTTTGGCCAGTACTGATGACCGATTATTAACAAGCCATATCGGCCAATATCAGTTCAATAGCCCAGGGGCTGTCAGCTGGGGGTATGCGTACTCCTAGGAGTACTTGGACCATCCTAGGGGGTATGCATGGGTGGGTGGGGAAGGAGTGCTGCCACCTCCCAGGAGCAGGGCTGGAGCATGGTGAGGGCAGCGGCACCCCTCTGCAGGGCAGGGAAGCTCACACGTGGTGGCTACTGCCACCACACCAGCCTGGTGAGCTTCCCCACCCTACAGAGAGGTGCCGCTGCCACCACCCCAGCCCGGTGAGCTTGCCCATACACCCCACCCTGGCCCTGCTCCTGGGAGGCGGTGGTGCTCTGTTCCTGCATGCCATTCCCGCCTCTCTGATCCGTATCCGGCTGCATGCCACTCCCGCTCCCCATCGCTTGATATTCAGCCGTACGCTGTGCTACCCCCTCCCCTCTACTTGGCATTCGGCGTATGCCTACTTAGACGTGCAGCCTGGCAGCTTGGAGAGCAGTCTGGCTGGTATGTCTGTGAGGGAGGAAAGAGAGGTGTTGGGGGGCAGATCAGGGCCCCCACCATGAGGGAGGGAGTGGGGCTGGGGCAGATGCTGTCCAGCCAGGGTGGGGCACAGGATGGAGCCACAGGCAGCCTCATCTGGGGGGGTGGCGGGGGCAGCTCCTGCTGCTGTGCATACCCTGTGGGAGGAATGGGGGGGCATGCTGGATTTGTTTATGGGGTGAGGGCAGACTGCCTGCTGAGGGCTTGGGCCAGGGGCTGTGCTGGCCTCTTCCCGGCACAGGGGCTAGACTGGGGCTGTGCTGGGGGCGGGGCGGGGTGGGGCAGGCGGCAGTGCTGGGAGAGGGGGCTAC